TCCTTCAGGGAGCCGGTCTGGGCGGGGGGGGGGGGGGGAGAGAGAGACAGGTACACAGATACTTACACCAGAAGTCAATAGTTTCTGTTTCTTTTGTGATAATCTCAAGTGTTCCAGTATAATTTGGCAGTATTAATTTATTATTATTGGTATTTGTAAAACATATGTTCTCTGTGTAAATGTCTCCCACTCTAAATAAATCTGCCTTTCTATGAACTGCTCTCAGACCTCCGGGTCTAGGGTGGTATAGAAATTCAATCAATAATAATAATAATAATAATAATAATAATAATTTATGCATTGTTCTCCTGAAAGAGCTGCTCCCTGCTTTGAATTGCTTCATGGCAACAGCTGAGTCCTGGAAGTGGCCAAGTTTCTGCCTCCTTGTCCTCTGTCTCTTCCAAAGGCAGCACAATGGCCTCAGAGGCACCATCGCTTGCACTGTCTCTTCTTAAAGATGGAGTGAAAAGAGGAGCCTGGCAGCTTCCTCAGGTAGGGAAAGAGCAACGGGAACAGGGATGAGGGAAGAGGGACAGATGGGACCACCCAGCCTCCCTCTGTGTTGAGTGGGGATGAAGGGGATCTAAGATCAGCTTTGTCTTCTTCCTCTTCTTTTTCCAGGCCCTCTTGACCTTTGAGGAGGTGGCTGTGTTTTTCACGGAGGAGGAGTGGGCTCTGCTGGATCGTGGCCAAAGAGCTCTGCACAAGGAAGTCATGGAGGAGAATTATGAGATGGTGGCCTCTTTAGGTGAGGGCACATTTTTATTCCTCCTGGCTGTTAGACGTGGGAGGTGTGAATCTGCTGTTTGAGCCATTTATTCATGCTGTGTCTTCTTCTTTGGCAAATCCTTGTAGCCGAGTAAGATTGTCTTCCATCCACACGATCTTAACGGTGTGTCCGTAAGTGACTGTTGAGTTCAATTCTGGATCCACACATCCTCCTACATTGGGAACATTGATTTCTGTGCGGGAGTTAATCACAGTGAGGGTTTGCCAAATGTACTTTCCTCTTAGCTTGCTTCTTGTCAGATTCTCAGGCCTCAGTCAGAGGTAACTGGCCACTCTCCAGGCATTAGGCTTGAGATCCTTGTTGACCTCCCCGTCTGCGTCTCCCGGCAAGATACAGGCAAGGTCACGATCGGCGATCCCACTCAGCGTGAGAGGGACACACCATTCCTCCCTCCTCCCTGCTTCCCTCAGGGAGGGGAAAGAGACAGACAGAAATCTATTTACATGTCTTTATTTCTGTCATTGCAGCAGTACAGAGAAACACGTCTGCACTCTCCAGTCTCCAACAGTAGAGAGAGAGACTCCACCCCTGTACTTCCAGTACAGGTCAGATGACACTCTGAGCTAACATCCGGTGCTCAGTACAGTGAATAGACTGCCCCTTTGTTCCCATGGTACAGTTCCAAACATCAACATCCTGCTTTGCTTTGCAGACACCTGCAGCTCGCTTTTGCATTGCTGCTTTTTCCTGACACTTCTCCCTTTTGTCCTGAGTTTGTGCTTCTTCAAAGTCCATGACGCCTTTGGTAAAGGCTATTCTCCAATTGGAGCCAAATTTTCTGTGCTTCATTTTTATATATTTGCTTTGAAAGCATCTTTAAACCTCTTTAGTTGTCCACCAGTATTTCACTTTCCATTCTTTTTTATTTTCTTTTCATTATTTTTATAACAAAAAATTATTGCAAAGTAAATACATCAATACCAAGCCATACATAAGGAATACTTTTTTAAAAAGAAAAGAGAAAAAAGAAGAAGAAATGTGAAGAAAAGTACAGTAAAATAATAGAGAAAATATAATATTTCAATACAATAAACACTATTTTACAAAATAATAGTGGTAATAGACTTCCATCACTCTCACACTTCCTTAACATTTCTTATTTTATCCGCATTTCATTATTATTTTCACCTTAATATATAGGGGTGTGTGTGTGTGTGTGTGTGTGTGTGTGTGTGTGTCTTTCCCCTTTTCCATTCACAAGGTCATTCTAGACACAGCCAGATTTTTATATTAGAACATTGTCTTTCTAAATAATCATTCAAGCACTTCCATTCCTTCTTGACTGTATTCATTGGCTTTAGTCTTATTATATCTGTCAGTTTGGCATAACCATTCCCCTTTAGTCGGTACCTGGTTACCCTTCCAGTACTTAGCCACCAGGATTCTCGCCGCAGATGTCATGTACAGGAAGAATTTAGTATTTTCTCTAGAAATTTCACTATTCAGTATTCCCAAACGGTATGCTTCTGATCTTTTGCTATGTGAAGTTCTTAGTAACTTTTTTATTTCTTCATGGATCATGTCCCAGAACTTTCTGATCTCTGGACATGTCTACCACATATGGTTTTGTTGTTTAGTCATTTAGTCGTGTCCGACTCTTCGTGACCCCATGGACCAGAGCACGCCAGGCACTCCTGTCTTCCACTGCCTCCCGCAGTTTGGTCAAACTTATGCTGGTAGCTTTGAGAACACTGTCCAACCATCTCATCCTCTGTCGTCCCCTTCTCCTTGTGCCCTCAATCTTTCCCAACATTAGGGTCTTTTCCAGGGAGTTTTCTCATAAGGTGGCCAAAGTATTGGAGTCTCAGCTTCAGGACCTGTCTTTCCAGTGAGCACTCAGGGCCAATTTCATATGGTAGAAGGTTCCAATCTGCTTTAAAATTAATATTTTTTGTCCTCAGTTTTTTCCACTCTTTATATTCAATTACATAACCTAACTCCTGCTCCCATCTTGTTATGGCCTTTCCCTTTTCCTCTGTTTCTATTTGAGTATTCTGTAACAGCATGTACATTCTGGAGAGAGTCTTTTGGTTGTTCTGTAAAACCTTCTTCTCTAAGATCGATGCTTTATTATCAAACCCTTTTAACATCTTATCTTTTTCGAAGGTCACCCTAAGCTGATAATATTCTGGCCAATTTATCCCTAGTTGTTTGAGTTCTTCAGACTTTTTCAGTTTCATCCACCAAGTCTATGTTAGTTGGTCAGTTATTGTTCATGTTATTCTTATGAATGGCAGTTGACTCTATAGGCGATATCCACCAAGGGTTTTTTGTTATAACTTTGGATTTATTCCTCTCCAAAACTTTGAATAAGGCCTTCCTCACTAGGTGGTTCATGAAGCCTTTCTGTGCTTTTATTTTATCATGACATAAGTAGCCATGCCACCTGAAAACCTTGTCCCCGCCCTCTAAATCCAAGACTTCGGTATTCCTAAGCAACATCCAGTCCTTCAACCAAGTCCAGCATGCAGCCTCAAAGTACATTCTGAGGTCCGGGACCACGAACCCTCCTCTTTCTCTGGGTTCCGTCAACAATTAAAATTTCATTCTTGCTTTTCTGCCCTGCCAAATAAAATTGGCCAGGTCCCTCTGCCAATCTTTAAAACATTTTGTCCCAATAATTGTTGGAATTGTCTGAAAGACAAAGAGGATATGGGGAAGTACTGTCATTTTAATCATTGATATTCTTTCCATTCTTAAGTTGGGAATAGAATAGTTGCTTTGGAAGACGATAATCAGGCATCTGAACAACATGACAAGTCCAATGAAGTTGATGTTGAAGATTGTAGTTTATAGCAATGCTGTACTTTTGTCAGTAGGTAACTCTTCATAAGCTGATATTGTGGTATGAAACCCTCACCCCCCAAAAAAAATCCTATGTAAAATATAGAAAGAGACTGACAGGTTAATAATGGTGGCATGAGGTTTCCTGGTCCACATCATTTATTAACTTTTAATGGTCCACCAGATACTTTGCTGTCTTTGCTGTATATTTTTACAGTCACATATATATAAACAGCACTTCTGTTTTCCTCATTCCACATAGCAGAGGGTCTGATACTCAAGTCTGAGCTCATCTCCTCACTTGGAACAGAAAAATACAGGGATGTCGTCCCGGACAAATTGAGAGGTACATACTTCCATTTTGCTGTGAGACTGTACCTTTGCCCTTTTGGATCAGAACGAGGGCCCATGTTTTCCAGCATCCTGGTGCAGGTTTAGGTGATGTGTACAGTGGGTTGGACTGTATCAGGAATAAATTACAGATCAAGGAGGAAGCAGAAAACTGAATACAGAGGTGCAGCATTTTCACAGGAGGGGGAAAGTGTCTCCCTCTGGATGTGGCTGCACCACAACTCCCATCATCCCTGGTCACTGGCTACAACTCCCATCATCCCTGGTCACTGGCTACAACTCCCATCATCCCTGGTCTTTGCTTGGGTTGATGGTACTTAGAGTCCAACCACATCTGGAGGGTCATAGATGCCTCACGTCAGCATAGAAGGTTTCTCTTGGTGTTCAGTGTTACATGGGAGTTGAAGGTAGAACTGGATACTAAGGGTTCTTGAGACTATTTTCAGATTTCCTTTCCTTTCGTATAAATTCGGTACATAGGAGTGGGAAGAATACTGGAGGTGTTAAAAGAAGAGAAGGTGCTGATTGGTCTTGTTTTGTTTTAACTTCTCTGGTTTTCTTCCTTGAATACCTAACAATATTATCTTTCTCTCCCACTTTAAACCAGGTGATGGAGAAGGCAATCAGAATTTTGAGGAGCCATCTGTAAAGTACTTCAGTGTGAGTGAACACCTTAGCACACATCTACAAACTAACACTGGGGAGAAACTCTTTAAATGTATGGAGTGTGGGAAGAGTTTCAGTGAAATTGGAATACTTACCATACATCAAGGAATTCACATAAAGGAGAAACCATTTAGATGTATGGAGTGTGGAAAGAGCTTCAGTAAGAATGGAACTCTTTCAAGACATCAACGAACTCACACAGGGGAGAAACCATTTAAATGTTTGGAGTGTGGGAAGAGCTTCAGTGAGAATGGATCTCTTGCAAAACATCAACGAACTCACACAGGGGAGAAACCATTTAAATGTATGGATTGTGGGAAGGGTTTCATTGAGAGAGGAGCTCTCACAAAACATCAACGAACTCACACAGGGGAGAAACCTTTTAAATGTATGGAGTGTGGGAAAGAGCTTCAGTGAAAATGGAAAACTTACTGTACATCAACGAACTCACACAGGGGAGAAACCATTTAAATGTATGAAGTGTGGAAAGAGCTTCATCTGTAGTTGGAAACTCACCGAGCACCAACAGAGTCACACCGGGGAGAAACCATTTAAATGTAAGGATTGTGGGAAGGGTTTCAGTGAAGGTGCAAAACTGACAATACATCAACGAACTCATATAGGGGAGAAACCATATAAATGTATGGAGTGTGGGAAGGGTTTCATTCAGTGTGGAGCTCTTACAACGCATCTACGAACTCACACAGGAGAGAAACCCTTTAGATGTATGGTTTGTGGACAGAGCTTCAGTTACAATGGAATACTTACTGTACATGAACGAACTCACACGGGTGAGAAACCATTTAAATGTATGGAGTGTGGGAAGGGTTTCATTGAGAGTGGAGCTCTTAGAAAACATCAACGAACTCACACAGGGGAGAAACCATATAGATGTTTGTATTGTGGGAAGTGCTTCAGTCAGAGTGGAGCTCTTACAAGACATAAACGATCTCATACAGGGGAGAAACCATTTAAATGTTTGGAGTGTGGAAAGAGCTTTATTTGTAGTTGGAAACTCACTGTGCACCAACATAGTCACACCGGAAAAACCATTTAAATGTATGGATTGTGGGAAGGGTTTCAGTGAAGGTGGACAACTTACAAGACATCCACAAACACATACATGGGGGTAACCGTATAAATGTTTGGCGTGTGGAAAGAGCTTCAGTGCACCTTCAAATTTGACCATATATCTACAAACTCACATGAGAGAAACCTGTAGTGTGTGCATAGAGCTTCAGTCACAATGGAATACAGTGGTACCTCAGGTTAAGAACTTAATTCGTTTTGGAGGTCTGTTCTTAACCTGAAACTGTTCTTAACCTGAGGTACCACTTTAGCTAATGGGGCCTCCCACTGCTGCCACGTGATTTCTGTTCTCATCCTGAAGTAAAGTTCTGTAACCTGAAGCATCTGTAACCCGAGGTACCACTGTACTTACTGTACATGAATGAACCATTTAAATGTATTGATCATGGGAAGAGTTTCAGTGAGAGTGGAGCTCTTACAACACATCAACGAACTCACACAAGAGAGAAACCATTTAAATGTATGGATTGTGGAAGCTGCTTCAGTAAGAGTGTAACTCTTAGTAAACATCAACTATCTCACAGACAGTGACAGATTTATGTATAAGCTAAACAAGCTATAGCTTCGGGCCTCACTCTCTTGGGGCCCCCAAAAAAATTGAAGGAAAAAACCTGGATATACATTTCCAAAATATAAGATAAAAAATAAAACCAACATACAGGAACAGTGTTTTGTGTTGTGTAGGTGCCTATGATGAAAAATATTCATCTTTATTAGTAGGCCTATATTATTATTTGCATTCAGAAGCAAACGCAACCTGCGTCTGCGTGGGTCACGATTCGCTGCTTCTGCACATGACGTCATTTTTACCGTATGCGCAAGCGGCAAAACCTGGAAGTAATGCGCTCCGTTACTTCCAGGTCGCTGCAGCGCGCAACCCGAAAATACTTCTGAAGCTACTTCAACCCGAGGTATGGCTCTACAGTTCCCTATTACCCCCACTTGCTACTATAATACTATATATAAATATTATAATTATATTAAATATTTTACTTACATTTTTAAAATGTCACCCAGATGTTACAAAGACAGATACTTCTTCTGTGATCATTTGTAGCTGAGAAGGAGAAAAAGCCATCCTTTCCTCGTCTGGCTCTTTGTCCCATTCAGACTTCTCAGCACCGTTTTGGGCAGCTATGTCCCCGACAACAGTGGTGTTTAGGAAGCAGGATTGGCTCTGGAATCCTAGAACTGTAGAGTTGAAAGGGACTCCAAGGGTCAAGTCCAACTCCCTGTTATAGGAACAGCACCATAAAGCCAATTTTTATAATTGCAAGAAAGGAACAATGAAAACACAGAAAGACTGGAACGGTTGTCTTATGTGCACAAAGTAAGCTTTAAACTGTCCTATGTTGTTTATATTTTATGAATTGATTGTTTTGCAATAGCTTCTCATACATGGCTACGTTAACGGCAAAGTGGATAAAATCCCTGGTGGCAGCTGGAATAAAGGAGGTGCTGAGGGGAACAACCAACATGGCAAGGGAAGGTGGCACAGGGAAATGTGGGCATTGCCAGTGGTTTCAGGAGAGTCATTTCCCTGTGGAGAGAGGGATCTCTGTTCCCACGTTTTTGATGTTTCATGTTTTATCGTGTTTTTAATATTCTGTTGGGAGCTGACCAGGGTGGCTGGGGAAACCCAGCCAGATGAGGAGGGTATAAATAATAAATTATTATTGTTGCTATTACTATTGGCCCATCTTTCAGAAATCTGTAGAAAGAGCAGGCAGTATAGGAGGCTGAAAGTGGAGTTCACCTGGAGCTCCTCCTCCCTCTGCCGGCATTGAGCATTTGCCCATGACATGAAGCAGCCACAGCAGGTCCTGGAAGCTGCCCACAGTTGGACTTCACCCCCAAAGGCCCCCTCCTCCATCGCCCCCCAAGACAGACGGATGCCAACAGGGTCTCTCTGCCTGCCAGGATTGCACCTGGGACCTCCGTCTGCATGCAAAGCATTGAATTCGATGCCTTTATTAAAACAACAACATTCATTTATTCAAAGTAAATACAGCTTTGTCCACTGCCATAATATCACAGAATGATCACTCCAATCCTCAATCTCAAATCACGGTCATGTGCCTTCCCCAATACCCCCAATAGGAACCCAACTACCGATCTGCTTGGCTAGACATTTCCAATCATTATAATCTCCACAAATACCTCCGAGATGATGGTGGCATTAAAATACCCTGTTCTTTAATAAAGGGAGATCGGATTGTGTCAAAAGGTATCTTTTTTGGAGATGCTTTTGATTAGGCGGTATGTGAGGTGTTCCGATAGAGCAATGGTCCAAAGGTTATTGATCCAAGCCTCTATTGTTATTTTAGAGGTTTCCTTTCATCGTTGGGCAATAACTCTAGCGGCTGTGAACAGAAATGAAATAAATTATTTAGACTGAAGCATAAGATTTGGGGTCAAATCTAGTCATAATAAGACAAGTGCTGAATAAGGACGGATAGATTGTTTAGAGATTTTGGAGGTCAGATAAAAAACTTTTCCCCAGAAGCCATACACCCCCACCAAACGTGAAAATAGGAATCTGAGACCTCTGCATGCAAAGCAACGACTCTATCACTGAGTTGTACCCCCCCCCCCAGTAACAGTCTAACTTTCTCCATCAGCTCCCCCTTTTTAAAAAAGGTACGCATTGTATTGACACGGGTGGCACTGTGGTCTAAACCACTGAGCCTCTTGGGCTAGCCAATTGGAAGGTCGGCGATTTGAATCCCCACAACGGGGTGAGCTCCGGCCCAGCTCCTGCCAACCTAGCAGTTCGAAAGCACACCAGTGCAAGTAGATAAACAGGTTCCACTGCAGCAGGAAGGAAAACGGCATTTCCCTGCGCTCCGGCTTTCGTCATGGTGCCCCATTGCACCACAAGTGGTTCAGTCCTACTGGCCACATGACCTGGAAACCGGACAAACGCCGTCTCCCTCGGCCTGAAAGTGAGATGCTAGTCGCCTTTGACTGGACTTAACCATCCAGGGAGGACCACCTTTTAGGGTTGTCTTCCGTTACTGCTCTAAACCCCTTTCCAGGAGGAGGCTTTTCAAAAATGTGGGTGGGTGTGTTGTCTTTCGCTGCCTCTGCGGGGAATTGTACCCATGAATTTCTCACTAAATAAACGTGAATATAGAGCTTGCCGGCTGGGAAGGAAATTCATGTTTGCAGGGAGGGGGAGGCGGATCTCCTGCCCCTCCCCCTCCCTCTGGGTCAATGAGCTCCGCTTCCTAGAGAGGCAGGAAGTTATTTTCTGTGGCGGGGGGAGGCAATTTGGAGGGGAGGGGTCTCCATCCTCATTCCCGGAAGAGAAGCGGACTTGGAGAAGAGGAGGAAGAGGTGCCGCATAGTGGGGAATTATTTGGGGGTGGGGGTGGGAGAAGGATTTCCTTTCCCTCTACAAAGAGGGCAGCTGGGAAAGGAGGCGGGAGGATTGAGGCGGGGGGGGGGTAGAAAGGAAAGCAAGGAGGGACTCTGCCCTTTCTCTGTGGAAATCGGGGGGGGGGGCTGGAGGCAGGCCATCCTGTTGCAAAGTGAGGTCCTCCCCACAGGGATTGCATTGCAAGATCCTTTTCGAAGCGCAGCGAAGACACTTGAGACGAACCACAAAAGGGTGCCCCCCCCAGTACGCCCTAACTATAAAGGGATTTGCAGCCCCAACCTGTTCATATTGACTCAAAAGTCAGTCCTCCGTTCAAAGGGGGGGGCAGCCCCATTCCGCCTAGTGATGCTCCTCTCTGTTTGACAGCTTCCATCTCCCTTCTCACTGCTGCCCCCCATCGCTCCCCCCAGGCTCTGCCTCCTGCGTCAGGGAGCCGGTCTGGGCGGGGGCGGGGGCTGAGCTCCTCCAGGACCCTGATCTCCCCCCTCCGAAATCTGCTGCTGAAGCCCCTGCCTCAGTGGGTCGGAGATCGGGAGGGCAAGCAGGGGAGAGGAAGTGGAAGTAGCTGGAGACAGCGTCGTAGCGTGGGTTGTCAGCACCCGGGGCAAGGCAAGTAATTTGCGCCCCCTAACCCATGGATTTGCGCCCCCTAACCCTACAAATCTATGCCTATGAATGATGGTCCCTCTCTCTCTCTCTTTCTCATATTCCAATTGATTGCCATTTCCGCCGATCGATCCCTGAAGCACTCACCCAGCGAAATTCGTGTGTAATTACGCTTCGCCATCCCTAATCCTGCCGCTTCCACCGGGAAATCATGACGGTGTGTTTCTCCTCTCCAAACTTTCCCCGGCCCTTTGCTGGCCGGCGCAGCCCTTTTGGCTACGAGCTCCCCTCCTTCTCTGCCCGCTTCCGACCCCACCTCCCCGTCCAGCCTCCCTACCTCCTGAAAAAAGGCGCCGGCGCCGAGCAGGACACCCCCGCGCCCATCGGAGAGAGGCGGGGCCGAGGGAGGCAAGCCAATGGGCGAGGCGGGGGTAGGTGGCCACGGGGGTGGGCGCTGCTGCAGCCCTCAGGTGGGCAAGGTAGGAGCAGGCGGAGGCTGGCTGGCCGCTCTGACAATAGGGGCGGGCCGAGGGCTGGACTCGCGCCCCCCCCAGATGTTGCGCCCGGTGCGGCTGGCACCCCTGGCACCCCCCACGCTACGCCACTGGCTGGAGAACAGAGTCGCCTCTGGATTGGGAGAGAGGAAGGAGATTTCGAATTGGGTGGGGGGGTGAGAGATGGACAGTTCCCTTGACATTCCCTTGACATTGGCTTCCGGAGCTTCCTGAGTAAGAAAGAGGCTGATGTGAGAAGGAAGCAAAAGAAAACAAGAATTTGCTTCTTGGGAAGGGGGAGGCCCCCCAGCTCCCCTTTCAGAAATCCTAGTCTGGCCAGCTGAGGTTGCTTTGGCACAAAGGAAAGAGCCTTGTTGGGATGTTGGGGGGGTTGCTGTGCTGCTTTTGTGTCCCAAAACTGGAGGGAAGAGGAACATTTTCCATTTCCTGAAGCATGAAAAAGCACCTCATCACTTTCCCTCCTGCTTGGCAAATAGAAGGGGAAGAAATGGAGGCAGTGAGAGATTTTACTTTCTTGGGCTCCATGATCACTGCAGATGGTCACAACAGTCATGAAATTAAAAGACGCCTGTTTCTTGGGAGAAAAGCAATGACAAACCTAGACAGCATCTTAAAAAGCAGAGACATCACCTTGCCAACAAAGTTCTGTATAATTAAAGCTCTGGTTTTCCCAGTAGTGATGTATGGAAGTGAGAGCTGGACCATAAAGAAGGCTGATGGCCGAAGAATTGATGCTTTTGAAT